GCACGGCATCGCGATGGTACCAAAAGAACCTGAACTCGGGCCTGAATACCCAAGCGCCAACTTGATCACGATTTACATACTCAGGTACAGTAATAAACGATCGAGCCCTAGTTGCGATCGACGCGCGAGATCGAGATCTCAGGCTGTGCCGCAAATACCGTCGGCCTCCTCGGCGCCGTTCCACATCCTCGCGACTTTCCCCTTGTTGAGCTTGGTGCGTGACAATTTGACAGTTTGTTATTTCTAGTAACTTGTTTTCCGCCCGAGATCTATGTGGGCATTATTCACGAACTGTAGGTAGAGATGGGTTTCCAAGGGTCCAGGTAGACGCGCGAGCGTGAAAGTCACTCGACCGCTTTCTCGAATAGGGTGGGTGCATCTAATCGGGTCTGTGCGGTCTCTTCGTGCCTGTCGATCTTTTCGACATCAGACAGCCAAGACAACTTGACAGCTCGACAGCGTAGTATCGCACCACGCATTCTCAGCATGTTAAGCGATGCCACTAAGACATCGACACTCTTCAGATAGCCGAACGTGTGGCTGAAGTGGATGTCGGGGTCTCAAACCTTAGCTGTGGCCATGCTTATAGCTCCCTGGTTTCACCTATTGAGGCAACCTCGCTAAGACAGAGCCATGAGACTTGTTTGAGCGGAAGCGAGGGCCTCGTTAGGTGGTGTCAACATAATCAATCCCGCGCAACCAGAAACATGATCTCGGAGGAAAAAGATCAGAAGAGTGGTCTCATGTTATCTCGTAGTAAGAAGACCTTGCGTGTTAGTTGGCTCATGCGGTTCATCGAGAAACACCCCTTAGGTAGGTATTTGGGCCAACACATTGCCATATAGGCAAATATATCGGATGCTTGAATGTCTGTAGGCATAGCGTAGGCAGATTGAATAGGTAGTTACGTGAATCTAGGGATGCCTGGCTTCAACTGCAGCCGCCACGTTTCCTGGAAGATGAGCTTCACATGGGGGGAAGGCATGGTGCGGTATTGGATATTCAAGAGATATCTTGCAGAAGCACGTGGGGTTGACCGACTTACATAAGACGAAGGAGCAGCAACTCTGACAACAGCCAATAGTCCCGAGGAGCGAATAACGTCTGGAAAAAAGGCATTCACAAAGGTCTTGGAAATGTGTTTGGCATAATGCTCAGATTTAACTCCTCTTGACACTTGTAATAGCCGCCCTTCTTCTTACTAGTAGTATGAAGATCAAAACAAATCCAGGAGTATTGATCGATTGAAAAGATTACTACCGACTATTGACCAATATCTAACCGCTATGTTTGTAAGTAAGTTCTATGTATTCTGATTCGACGTAGGATCAGCTAGTCTAGCCTTTGGGATGCAGTGACGCTGACATGAGGAATACATCACCCAATGCAGTTGATTTGATAGATACTCAAAACTCCTGACGAGCTAACTAGCCGGCTTCTATCACATAGTGTTTAGCTTCGTCAGTAGAATGATTCACCCACAACACACCCCTAAGCAAAGGACTAACCAAATAAACGATGCCCCTATAGGACACCACGCCCATCATCAGTCTGATGTGGCGTTATGCCAGGATTAATGTAAGTCCATGCCAGAGCCTCATTTTTCACTCAGAACCACGTTTCCAGGGCGCCTCGTTCTTTGATGATCAGAGTAACCCTCACTGTTCTAAGAGTAAGGACGGAGAGAAGGAACATTTCTATGTCTCGCGCTAGCAATCATCACTCCAGTTTTTTTTTTATACAACGACATGCTACCCATTTCTCGCTGCAACATTTCAGTCATGGCGATTACTCCGCTACGAATTGCAAATCTACCGCTGGCTCATGTGGGCAAATGTACTAGTCATGCAAATCACTGTCACTGTTGGAAGTCAGACTGCTGGAGATGCTTCCAACAGAAGCTTTTGGGTGTGGCATGTGTGGCTCATGCTCAAGCGGTTAGGATGAATGTTGGAAATGAGATGTGAGTGATCGTTTCTTCCATGGTACTAATTAGATTATCAACCTGTTCCTACGTGTCATGGCAACATGTGAGTGCAAGGGGCTTACTTCTAAGAAGGAGCATTGGCGTGTATCGTGGAACTCGATCTGTATCGCAGGTGTTTCATTCAGGTTAGGGAAGAAAGCGGGAATAATTGACCTTATATATGACTGCTCAAGATGAGACCCTTCAGGCCTATCCACAATCTTGCTTCAAAGGAGTGATTTGTAGAGATGGTGGCGACACCTACAGATTACGTTCATGTCACTGCCCGCGCTTCACTTAAACATACAGCGTCGTGAAATTCATCCTCTAATGGAAAAGGAGAGAATCCACCTCGACGACTTTTCACGACATTCATAAGTGTCATATTCAAGTTTCTAGACCTTGCGGGAGTGTAGCGACCAGTGAGATGTTCAAAACAGGTCGGGGGCATCAAATCAGGGCACGTTATGGTTCGGTCACCTGAAGGCTGGTATAAATAAGTGACAAAAATTTTAAGGTTCGGCCCGCCTAATTTCATCAAAAGGCAACCACTTTTTGCCACTCTTTCTCCCTACCCAGGAGAGATGCTGCCATGTTACCTGGCGGTCAAGACAACCCGGTTTCACGATGGGAGCGAAACCCGCGGCTGGGAACTGTATGGTTGTGTCGCGCCTCTCATGGCGACTTAATGCGCACGTTTTCCCGAAGCTCATGCACCAGAGCGCAGGTAACTCTGTCGCTCATTCGCTCCGTATATTTGACATATGTCTTGAACCAATCAGCTCTGCCCATGGGCAGATGATAAGGAGTGCTATGTGTGAACCTCATTCCTATCACTGTTATGTACGCCTTATTGGATTCTACCTGTACAATGTCAGACTCCTCGAGTACATGTAGTCTTTGCCGTACAAATAGAATCCTGCCATCTTGATCGGTTCTTACCATCACTCAAGTGTCCTAGATTGCTTAATGATTCTAGAACACTCCATGATGTTCGGACCGCGAGAATAGTTTGTAGGGTTGTGAGGGCAGTGCTAGACATCTCACTTCCACAGCTGATCATCCTCAGCGCAAGTCCTCGCCATCTCAAATTGCTCGTCCGTGAGGCAAACCAGTGTCCTATGTCTTGCGTCTTTCTTGCCGATATCCTGCACGATGTTTTTGATCTCCTTCGTATTTGCTGCGCCATCGATCTCGAACCCTAGGCAGCTAGCTTGCGCAACGACTGCGCTTCGAAGCACGTCGCTCTTCTCTCCGATGCCGCCTGCGAAAACGAGAGCGTCAACTTTCCCGCCCAGCGCCACGTAGTATGACCCAACGTAGCTCAAGATGCGATTGACAAAGACGTCAAAAGCGAGCTTGTACTTTGGATTTTCCAAATCTGATGTGATCTCTCCGAAGTTGGTCGTTCCCGTTAGCGCCTTCCAACCACTCTCTTTGTTCAGAATCTCCTCGGCGCGCGAGATGTGCAGGTCCTTAGTCGAAGAATGCGACAACTTAGCTGCCTCACTTGTATAGTGAAATACAAGACTGTCGGGCAATGGCCTAGTAAGCATCTGGGCCGCGATCCTCTGAATTTCGAGAGGGCTATGAGGAGATACAGTACTCACCTAGGATCTACACTTCCGCTTCGTGTTGCGCCTGGCAGCCCAGCAACTGGCGTCAAACCCATACTGTTATCCAAACTCTTCCCCCCTTTGATCGCACATGCGCTCGCACCGCTTCCGAGATGTAGTGCGATGATATTCAAGTCTCCTTGATCCTTGCCTAGAGAATCGGCAACCGATCGCGCGATGAAAGAATAGCTAATGCCATGGAAGCCGTATTTACGAAGCTGTTTCTTCCTCGCAACCTCTGGATCTATGGGGTACGTCCTGATGTGCTCAGGGATGGACGCGTGGAACTGCGAGTCGAAGCAAGCGACGTTTACAGCGTCCGGCAGTTCATCGATACATGACTTCACTATCTGAAGTGCGCTAGCGTTGTGCAGCGGCGCCAGATCTGTGAGCTCTTCGAGGTGGTGATACGTGTCGCGGGTTATTATCTTTGAGCTCGTGTAATCTCCGCCATGGACTATGCGGTGGCAGGCAATGCCTATATCGCTCTTCTGGCTAATCTCCGGGAGAGAGGAATCGTCAGTCAGCGTTTTCAACACGATCTTGAACGCCTCGTCTTGAGTTTCGGCTTTGTCGCTGACTTTTTGTCCCTTTGCGACTGTCTCATCTCCCCGTATGTAAGTCAATTGTGTCGGCGGTGCTGTCAACCCACTGACACTGACCTCGGCAAGCTTGGTTGGGGTTTGGCCCTGAGTTGCTGTATATGCGGAAATCTTGACAGAGCTGGAGCCCGCATTGATGGATAACAGTACTTTCTTCGCCATAGTTTAGGTAAATTGGCTGTAAGATAGATTGAAAGTGGTGTGTCTCTTGGCTCAGATCTAAGGACCGTGTTTTGACCGGTGTCGTTTCAGGCTCGAGATACGTGGCGATTTTGAAATTTCCACATGAAGATGATACTAGGCGTTCATTTCCCTTGCTAGCAAAGATATGTGCCGTGTTATTAATCAATTGTTCGTGACTACTCCGTCCGGCATTAAATGATTGCATGATGACGTCGATTATCCATTCTAGTGTAAGGCACCGCTTATGTTACCCTAGAATTGTGATACTGCTTCTACACGGTCAATATCTCGAATCTGTTATCCAAATCAAATTTGGAGTAAAGAGCAACCGACATTCCTATTAATGCCTGTTGACGGTGAGTTGACCTCGCTAGGCAGAAACTCCAATAGCTACATGTAGGTCTAATGCTATATTCCATGTATTATATCGGTGCCAGTCGAAGTCGCTATTCGATTGTTTGTAAGACTATCACGAGCACACACTATTTACTGTAAACTTACAACAGAGAAGTGTAATTCCTGAACTCTCAGATAATGCGCTCAGTCAGTAACTTTATATTCAAACAACAATCAAATTTACCCGTACAACTCTCCCAATCCAGGCAAGCTTAAGTAAGCCAAAAAAGAACTGAATGGTCAGTATAGGGCTTGAACCTATGGCCTTCGCAGTAATCCTGTGCCTCATACTCATAAGAGTGGCAGTGTAATTGCGATGCTCTACCAACTGAGCTAACCGACCTTCTTGCTTGTTCAGTCGAGTCGTAAACTCGTCTATGCAGCTGACGCGGATTATCCGCGGGAGTTGCTGATGTGAGTCGTCTCACCAGGTTGTAGTAAGCTTCCAAAACGATAATACTACAAAGGGAGGTTCTGAAGCATTAAAAAAGGAAGAGAGAGTCTCAGTGAGTATTGTGTAATAATAAAAATGTACAAAAGTCAAGTTGAACACCTGACTTTGGAAGGATAAGTGAGAAAGAGAAGGAAGGTGACGCCTTGGCCAATATCACAGGTTTCCTTTCTAAACGTTACTTAGCTACTTCGCTGGGAGAGAGAGACAATATTCCTACCTATATACTCAGCGTTCATGTGCTACGCATTTTGTTTGCGTGAGTCTTCGGCAATCCGCCTATCCCTCATGCATGCTTGACTTACGCACGTCTCAATGTCGGATGTTGGATGGACAGGAAAATTGCCGCCAGATTCGCACAAAATCTCGTTTCAATCAGCAGTCTTTCACATGTAATGTATTTGAGTATTGAGATTGTTGGTGTGGTTCTCCTAGTGAACAAACTGGTCGTCAAAAAAAGCTGGGTCAACCAATCATCTCGATCTCAAAGAGCTACACAAATAAGTCGCAAGCAAGGTCTTCGATGGTCTTACTATTTACATTGAACATTCATATTATCTGAAACTCACGTCTCTACATACTACTTATCATGTTACCAGTCTCTCCAATGATACCTCAGATGTCATTCGGCTCATCCTTTTTCAATATACCCAAATCATCCCCAATATTCTACCATGCAGGTCAACGATTCCACCAGACTGAATGATCCCTTTCCGGGGCTATGATATGCCATGGAATTAGCTGTGCTCCTACCAAAGAAAAACCCTCTCGCTCTTATCCCCGTCTCTATGGTTCTATAAAGACACCGCCAAAGTTCGCAGATCGCATTTAGTAGACTCAAAGTATACCTCGCGTGCATCCAAGTAGATGATACCGAGTTGCAGAAGAATTGATACCATACAACCCCAACCACGGCTTTCATTTGGTACCCCGCCCCATCTGTACATATGCTGCTTCCACTCTGCTCCCCTTCTATACAGGCTGCTGTAGTGTAACAATATCTTCGAACATATCTTAGCTTTTATCCCTCTTAAGAACGTGACGGGTCTGTAGACGGCGCGCGACTTCTCAGAATGGTGTCAATCGTTTCGACGTATAATTCATCGGAGCTCGTAGTAGCCTGAATATGGGGGTTCTGCTCGAGGGAGTCAGACCATCGATGCCAGCGTGTGCCCGGCATCGGGTCACTCCAATTACGTAAGTCGCGTAGTATACGAGACATTCGAAGTGCGAAAGGTGCAACGTGAATGTCGACGAGGCACAAGTCGCTGCCGAGGAAATAAGGGCCCTGCAAATCCGTCAGAATTGACTAGATAGAAACAATGTAGATACCTACTCGTTCGTCAGCAGCTTGTGTTAGGGCCATAATCTCACTTCGTAGCCTCTCAATACATTCTTGTTGCCTTGCGAATTCTTGTGCTCTCATCAAGGCGAAGAACGCTGGCACTATTTTGGCATTAATCTGGGATAGTTAGCTGCCCGTTGCTTCGTAGAATATCACATCGGGTCCCATACATGATCAATCCATAGCCTGCAATTTGCCTTCAGTCTAGGATCAGTTGGTAGTAGCGGCAGTCTTCTATCATGGTCCTCGAGCTATAACACGAGTGTGAGCTTCATGCTAGCATATCCACTACTTCTGCATGCCTGAAGACTCACATATTCCAATATCACAGTGCTTTCACCACTAGCCCAGTCGCCTTCTCGGATAGCTGGCGTCATCCCGCGAGGATTCGCCTCTAACAAATGAGTTGGACGCTTGAAAGGATCCGTCTCGCAATATTGGTATTGCATGCCTTTTGCTTCAAGCGCTATCCACACTCGTTGGGAGAAGGGGCTGTCACCAAGTTCCTCTCAGCATAAACGCATTTCGGCCAAGAAAGAGGAATACTTACCAAAAGCTTGCCGCATAGAGCTTCAACCCATGCTCTTTCGAGTGCCTTTTGGCGGTCAACATGGCATTGCCAGATGGCCTCTTTGGCTGAGGCGATTTCTGCGGCGACAACATTAGTTTTGAATGCAATTCCTCTTAGTCGACTTGACAAGAGGTGGGCCAAGACAAGGTGATAAATAGCAACCCCCTTTGAGATGCATGCAGGTTTTCGTTTGGTCTTCTTACTAAGGAGATCAATACGATCCTATAGGGCACAGGCATTATGATCCTTGTCGCCGCAGATGTGGTTTCGTGTACACGAAGGGAAGTCAGAAGCAGAACGGACTCACTTGGTTCTTCTTGGCCTCCTTTTCTTGGGCCGCAAGAATCCTCTGGACAGTGGACTTTTTGATTTCATCACTCTTTTCCAGCGTGTGCTTGTGGGGCCCTGGAATACCGTCTCCCTTACCATTCCCACCATTTCCATTGACCCTCTGTATCGTCCAGTACTTTTCACCAGCTATGAAACCATCGGGTGACCGCGGCGTCCCGTCCGGAAAGGGATGCAAGGTTTGAAACACGCCTGATGGGGTAAGATTGAGAGTACCATCAGGGGAGAAGGTAGCATTTGGAAAATGCTCTGTGATTTTGATCTTGACATCACAGAGATCCCTCTCACGGGCGAACCGCTTTCGTTTCTTCTTGGAAGGGTCTTCAGACTTGGGCGTACCCGGCGGGCGTCCTTTCATTCGACAGTCCCAATAGTGAGAAATGAAGTTCTTCCGTTTGTATTTTTGTGTCGAACGATGTGAGTAGACATTGTCAATATGGGGGAAATAGGTCTCGAATCTTTATGGAACAACAATCAGCGTCGAAGCGACATCTAGGAGCAACTTGGAAGAGCCTACTCATCATTCGTCAAAGTTATTGTATCGTCGACATCGAATAACTTGTCACGCCACGCCTGGAGATTCGGCGGATCTATAACTACCCTGCTCACCAATTGTCCGTGTGGTCTCGGATCGGAAGCTTCCACAATGCTGCCAATGGACGAAGGCCCGGTTGGGGAAGAAAACACGTCATCCTCAGAGTGTAAAAGGGGTTGCCCTCCGGGCTGTGTTACGGGCACGATGGGCGGCAAGGTACCGAAAGGGCTGTGGAGTGGCGGCCTAGTGTGTGGGAGCAGAGGAATGGACGCTACGTGGTGCGGTTGTTGTAGCTCGGCCGTCGTCTGGGTATGAGAACGGCGGTGCAGATGAGTCGGCAAGGACGGGAGGTGGTGATCGCGTTCGAAGCTATCTTGGGGAAGATGGCCGAAATCGTGGTGCGGAATGGGCAGAGCAGGAACCGAGTTTAGGCGTTGTAGATGTGGTTGATAGAGAGGATCGGAGTTGTCGATGGGCAACTCGAGAGCCGACAAGCCGGCAATGCGGAAATGCGATTCCGAAGGCCGCCTCGAGGGGTGGTGGATTTCGTGAGAGAGGGTATCGTCTGGAGATGGGAAGTGTACAGAGATGTGGTCCATGATGGCTCTTGAATATATCAATTATTACTGGGTGCTGCTACGGCCGCTTAGAATGCCCGTGACCCTCACAGCTCAACGACACCCAATCCCATCCCATGTCGCAATCCGTCAAAACACCACAAACCTAACAACACCAAAGGATTCACCAGAGAACACAAGCAAGGATAGATTGGCCTTGGCGGCGGAGGCGAGGAGAGGAGCAGTAGAGCAGAGAGAGAGAGAGAGGACCAGTATTGGCCAAGGTCGAACCAGAGGAAGAAGGGGGTTGATGGGTGTAGTAGTGTAGGCAGAGGTAGACTGGTAGTTATACTAGCAGTAGGTAGACACAGACGGTGATAACGACGGGGCGCCGAGCAAGCAGCAGCAGCAGCAGCAGCAGAGACGAGAAGATTCCCAAACTAATAAACAATGTTGGAACTAAAAGGAAGGGATGGAGGACGGGGAGCGGTCGCTCGTGGCCGTTGCCGCCTGGCTGGATTGGGACTGGGACTGGGACTGCGAGTTGGGCTGGACTGGACTGTGTCGATGGAGATATAAAAGAGTCGTGGTCAGCCAGTGTTGGACCAAATCGGACCATTATCGGCTTCTGGGTGCAGTTGGGAATCGTGGCTCCGGACAGCCCAGATGACATAACTTTATATTTTTGTCCACAGGCTGCATGCAGACGCATGTAGGTAGGTACAGATCACACTCGCAGATCAGAGTCACAGACTTCCCTCCGAGCATGCTCTCGGGACCAGCCTGCGCAGCCGATGCCTAGGCAGCTTGACGTGTGTGTGCGTGTGCGTATGCGCAGGTATGCATGTGTGCGTGTGTCTGCCACTATCAGATGGCGAGGTACGACGAGTATAGTCCGAGTCGTCGTCTCTCGTCTCGTCCGTCGTCCTTGGCCATGGTCAGCAAACAGCACACACACACACGACACACTCACACACTCTCTGTTCCTAGAATGCTGTGCCTGGTAGGACTACCTTGGACCGATCATGGAGGCGCATCGGGATGGAGATAGCACGAGCAAGCAACGCACCGGACAGCCCGTGATAGTGCTGCAGCCCCCGCCGACCCTAGGTGTTTACTATCTGTAATGCGTCCCGAACAGGCAAGCCCAGGCCAAAATGTTTGGCCTCTGTGAGTCTGTGCCGTCTGGAGCTGCTCGATCTAAACAGGGGTCCATGCCGACTTGTCAAAGACTTGTCAAGGCTGCGAGTCTAAGTGGGCTCCGAGGTGGGGCGGAGGGGAATGCCTTCTAACAAATCCAGCCGTTGGAACTTGGAATGAATCCCTCGCGATAATCACAGATCAACACGCTACGAAACGGGACGCCTGCCACAGGACTCTGGAACGTGGTCCAGCTCACCAGCATCACTCCGAACTACACGTATGCTTGCTGTCCGCGCTCCCAGCTGCTGCGCTGGCCGTCCTGCCACGCGAGGGCTTAGGTAGGCCAAGCCTTACGTCACTTCTGCTCACTTATTTCAGCCGCGCGCAATACCA